GCTGGTTCTGGCCAAACAAAGTGAGGGGGGAGGCAGCTCAGGGATCAAAGGGCCCATGATGGCGAGTGCCGCACAGCGAACAGCACGCACTTGGTGGTGTAAGGAACAGCCCGTGCTGTGACACGCAGTGCACACACACCAAACACAACTGGGAAATCAGAAGATTAACAAGTAGAGCAGCACATATTGAGACATGCACTCTTTCTATTTTTTTTTTTAACCTAGACCTTTGTTGTTTTTAATAATTGATATAAAGTAGCAAATGACTCACTAATTGCACTTCTAAATCGTAACCCAACCTGGAATCAATCACACATGGCATAACTTCTGTTCCTATTTGAAGCAAAATCCACCACAGTGCATGCAGTAGCCTCTCTAATAATTGCATTAGTCATAACCTGAAAGTATTTCCCACTTACTTGGTTCCAGTTTTGCTTGCTTTTCAAGCTGATCCTCATCCCTATTGCTAAAAAGATCTCTGAAATGTTACCCTGCAGAGCCTGCTCTGGGACTCGGAGAGCACGGTGGTGCATTTCATGGTGTGATTCCTCCTCTTTCAGTGACTAAGTTTCCTCCAGTTCCATTTTATCTCCATTGCTCCAGTCCAAAGTCAAACAACTGCCATTCAGGATTGCACCAGATATTAGCAAGTAACACTGCAACACTCTTGGTAATGAGCTGCATACACAAAGAACTGCCAGATTTACGCACGTCATCTTTTGTTTTGCAGAACAGATTCTAGATTTTGAAGTACCCTCTAGGCCGGATAGTCATCTGCTTGATTCTCTCCCTTTTATGCCTGAGAGATACTTTTTTTAAAAAATGAATACAGATCTTGTAAGCCTTTTTCAGAATAAAACTCTTTGCAACATCACACCACAGATTAACCATCTAGTAGCTGCGGGCCAAACAGAAATGAGGAATGGCATGAAACAAACAAATAAAAGCTGGGATCAAGCATACACAAAACAAGGTAAGTCCTGACACCAAGGAACAACGTGGGATGCTCGAGGAACAGCAAGATGGCTTTTGAGAACTACAAACATGAACTCAGTTAATCCACTTTTGCAGGATCCTCCCTAGGAAACAGCCCCACTGAGCCCACGCTGACACAAACCCCAACAGCACTCGCAGCGACGTGGTGAGAGCCCAGGCTCACGTCCCACCAGTCCCACCATAAACACCACAAAACTTGGACAAGCTTCCAGGAGCTCAGTACCCCCACACAGTGACACCTACCACAGCAATGCTTATCTACCCCAGCAAAGACTACACTAGCACTGACATCATCTCACGTTCCCTTTCCCCCACTGTGAATCCTCTGCCCACATCCTGCAGAGAAAGAGATTCAATTAAAATCTGCCAAGTTTTCACTGCTGATTTCCCTTCCCGCACCCCCAGACCCCTGCCAGCAATTGACTACTCAGATATTTAGCCTTTGATTTTAATGCAGATCTGCAGAAATGTTTTTATTGAATCTGGGTTTTAATACTTGCATAATACTTTGCCCTGCAAAGATAGTGGATTAAAAAAAAAATGTTTACCCTTTCTGAATGCAGCTTTAATCTGCTCAACATCTATTTTTATGCTGCTTATTTTATAACCTTGTAACTTTCACCTTCTGCTCTCTATGTTGCTGGGGTTTTTTGTAGAAGCCAGATGTCATCATGACTTTCCACTTCGTTTTCTGTATCCTTTGGCATTCTACCTCCCTTCTTTTCTCATGAATTCTGTCCACGCAAGCAAATACAGAAAGAGAGAAGAGGGGCTCTGGACACTGCTTTATGTTGCATGGAATTGTTTCCAACTTCATTCTTGTCATTAAAGATGACAAAAAGCTGCTTTTTCAAACGTCAAGATTTTCTTCAAAACATTTCACACTCACAAGTCATCTTCTTAGCTTATCACCTTCCTAAATCCAAGCCTCCTGTGTGGAAAGTATTCAAACACTGCCGAGCTTCAAAGCATGCAAACAGCCACATTAAATGTGTGATTAGTCCCGCCGAAATTAAAGTTAAGCACATGTAATTATTTGTTTTTATAGGTTAAAAAGATGTAAAATCAAGCAAGTTCCTTTTCAAATTTTCCAATTTTCTGTTATTTTTAAGTTCTTGTGAAGCTTATGAGACTAATTTCACATGTAAAGGTAGCTTTTTCTATGGCGATTTTAAAAATACACTCCTCATATAGAGTTATTTTTTCCCAATTCAAATTCTGTCCACAAATATCTTTGCACAAATCCCATTAACTTTAGTGCATGTCTAAAGGCAGAATTTGAAACCTATAAAGAACTGGGTCACTGGACAATGGTGAGTCTCAAACAGAGATCTCTTTTCTGAGTTATAACAAGAGAAAAATACCTCTTCCCTCAGGCACTAAAAGAACATTCCCATTTGTCTGTAAACAATACCAACCACTTGAAATTTGATAGGTTGCATTTCATCCTTGCTCACTTAGGATTTTTCCCTTTACTATAGCTAATAGCCGTTTAGTCCTTAATGTAGTATTTGTAGCTGATGCTACATCATCCAAGTCCACCGGCCCTTGGGGCTGCCTGCCTGCAGATTTCGGTGCCTGATTCACCCCAAGCTTAAACCCAGTAGCTATCAACAACTTCTGTAAAGGGTCCCTCTGGGGTTTTTTTGGTCCCCGGGAGAACTGCTTTCACATGCTGGTCATACACACTAGCTCCTGCTTTGCCTCCATTTTTTATTTAATACTGGTAATAAAATGTCTTTATCACGTTTATAGAATATAGTATAATTGGGTATGAGATCTACAAGCTGGAAAATCACTCCAGAATAGAGACTATTTTTTCAAACTAATTCTACATTTACTGTGTCAGTAAACATCAGTGAAAGAGTCTTAGAAGACTTCAGTCACCATGACTGTTCTCTACATTAGCAGCTCAGATCTGTACACTTTCCTCATATGACTGGTTTTATTCCATTATATACACTTGTTACAGCACAAAACCTACACAGTGTATACCTGTGTACACTTAAAATCAGATCATCCAACCTTATCTGGCCAGTCAGGAGATATAAAGAGACAGGACAAACCACTATGCAGTATCCAGGAATTAACAATGAGTTCCCTTTCCACACTCATTTTTCCTAGAAAGTTTACATTTGCCTAACTCAGTCTCTGCCTCTCACCTAACTCAGTCTCTGCCTCTCTACAGCCTTTGTGATTCCCTCAGTTCTCTAGGGGTAACATTCAAGAACACATGACAATGTCTTATACATTTCTATGAAAAGACCTGCAGGAAACATGTATTATTTCCATCATAGTTATATGTTTTAAGAAAACATCTTTCTATGCCAGTATTTTGTCCCAGGAAAGAGCATAATTATTCTTAATTACTTTAACTTTCATCAAGGTAAATCTAATTCCGGATTGCTTTTGGCACAATTCAAGTCCCCATTTCTTATTGCGTACACTTAGAGATATAAATTCAATTTTCTTCCTTTTTATTCCATGAAGCCTAAAGACAGATGTTAACTTTTTTTCCACACCTCAGATGTTCCTTTCCTTGTTAAATTTATATCCTTGTACTGCAGCACCAAAGCTCTTCCAATCCCCTGTATTCTAAATTAATCCATCAATCCCCTTTCCTCTGTGTTTTTGCCCTTGGCAAATCATTAGCCCAAGGGAAAACTCAACAGAAAAATTCAAGATTTCACTCAGACCACAGCTGAAAATATCTTTCTTCTGCCTCTGCAAAAGCCTCACTATCTGAGATGCCATCTCTTGCAGATTTTTCTCTCCTTACTGCACTTCCAGCCTCACTGCACAGCCACTGATTTTCACAGCTGCCCCTTCCTATTCCACAGCCTCCTCCAGCAGCCTTCCTCTGGCCTATATTTGTACTGTGTCTCGACTTGCTGTAATCAGTTTCAAATAAAGATGTTCTCACATTAAGTCCTTGGACCAGTCCTTGATTTTCTAGCTATTATCTTCTCGCCCCTTCTCAAGGCCGACACTAATATTTTAAGGCCACATGGGAGATTCAGCCAAACTCATTCATTGCTTTGAAACCTCTTGATTCTAGACTTGAAAGCAATAATTGAGATTCCTCAGATTTGTTTCTCATTACTTAAAAATAATGAGATAAAAGTTTGTTACAAACGTAGAACTACGACTGTTCAGAACTAGAGTGACACTTTACGCACAGGCTTGCAAAGAAGTATACAAAATTTATATTTAATTAGAACAAGCTGGACCTCTCACTACACGTAGTTATTCAGGCACACGTGTTTTCCACTTCCACTCTAATGCTGCAAATCGCTCTTTTGAATGAAAGTTACTGTTTCACTTCAGCACTGCAAATCTCCTGATCCCACTGCCTTTTGCCAAAGTTTTCTCCCAGGCCGCTTCAGCCCAGCATGCTGTGTACGGATTATTTTGGCAGAGAGCTCCCCAGTCAACAGTTTTTCATCTTTACAGCCTGTATAAAATTAATTTTGAAAAGTCTAAAAAGTGATATTCAATAGGATTGCCACGGGCTTACACGTTGAAAGCTGAGTTCGAAAAGGCGCTTAATGTAGGAACCTGGCAGAAATTTTGAAGTGCTCACGTGAAGCCAATGGTTATTTGAATGTTGAAGCAAAACCATAACGGTTATTTGAAATGTAAAGTAGAAAAAACCCACCAGCTCAACCCTCCCTCCTCACACCTGAAGGCTTTGGCATGCTTCTCTGGCATGCCAAACACATGGCAAACACTTCTCTGAAGAGTTTGATGAAAAACACTACTTAGAGCTTTTGCTTCAACTTCCCTGCGGTGCCCAGCGGGTCCAGGACAGTCAGATGTCCAGGACCAGACGAATGAGCGCAGGGAGCAGAGAGCTGACTCGGACCCTTCTGAGAGGAAAATGGAGACCAACGAATGCCATGTGCCTCGTGAAGCCCGACCTGCCCAAACACGCCACAAAACTGTCTGGATTTTAACGTCCTCAGACAACCACCGAGGATGCCACACGGAGAACAACTGCTCACCTGGAAACACCGCTTCCCAGCTCAATTTAGGAAACTGCTCCCTTCAGATTTTGCTCTGGAATATAAAACCCACGGAGCACGTGCCTTGCCCGGCTGAGAGAGCACCAGGGCCCTGCCTCACACCTCACCCCCCCACTCAGCCCTGCCCCATCCCTCCCTCTGGGCCCGCGGCCCTCTCAGCGCCCGCCGCCTCCTGCCCTCTCAGCGGGGCGGGCCCTGCCTGGGGGCAGTATTCACACTCACGGCCACGGGCCGCTGCGAGCGGGGCCGGCTGACGGTGAAACCGCACTCCCGGTGTCCGCTGAGGTGCCCCGGCAACGGGGGCGGCGGCTCCTCCCCGCCCTGAGCGGGGCCGGGGCAGGGACGGTCCTTCCCCCCACACACACACCTGCCTCCCGCCGGGCCTGGCCGCCCCTCACACGGGGATGGGGAGGACCCTACCGCGCCGCTTACGCACTCTGCGCCCGGCACGCTAGCACCTACGGCATTTGCGCAACGGGAGCCCTCTCAGGTGCAGCGCCCGCGTTGACGACATTACGGAGAATTCGTAAGAAACACTAACCTCTTTGAGGGGCTTTACGTAAGCGGCGTTCCTGGGTGCAGGCTTGGCCGCTCCTAACCCACGTAGCTGCAGGAGCTCTCCGAACTGCAGACAGCCCGGGCGACGGGCGGGATTACGCAGTTTACGCAAGGAGTAGCGGCCCCAGGTAGGAAACCGGCCGGGCCGAGCCCGGCAGCTTTACGCCAATTCCGTAAGGCTACGCCGGCCTGGCCGCGAGGAGGGAGGAAACGGCTGGTTCCGCGCCGCTACGGAATTGGCGCGGCGGCCGGGCATCCCCCTACGCAGTTGGCGTAAGGCTCTCTCTCAGGTGCAGGGAAGGGGCGGGCTCACGTTGCCCGGCAGCCCCAGCCTATGGGGGCGCCGGGCGCTGTCACGTGCCGCAGCCCCGCTCGCCGCTGCGGAGCCGGAGGAGCCGGACGGGGCCACGGAGCCGGGCCGGGGCCGGGGGGGGCTGCGCCGGGGCCGGCGGCGAGCGGGGTGAGGCGTGCGAGCGGCG